TAGTACAGATTCAAAAAAGGTAGGAATGTACAAGCTTACTATTTATAATATTTTGGTTGTGGAGAGATAATTTTTTTATATATTATTGGTCTTATTGTCTGAAATATTTTTTTATATTATTTTTTCGTACATATTTATCCGCTTATCTTATTATTCTTTATCTAGTAGCAGGTTAGAATTCACATTTAATTGTTTGGAAACATAAATCATCACCTTTATCATGATTTCGTGTTTACTCGTTTTATGGTCTCTGTTGATTTGTGTCCTATTGAAGGGTACTGTCTTGTTTCCTCTGTGTTTTTTAATTTCATATAGGTCTTTCACAGATTATCTAATCTGTCAATTTTTTGGGACAGGTTAGATAACTATCAAATGTATCTAAAAAGGTACTAATATTCAAAGAAAACCACCATCTATATAGATCAGTTTTCTATAAAACATAAAGTCTTAACTGTCATTTTGTTAACTTTTAAACATTCAATTCTACATCAGACTATAAAAAGATAATAAGCAACTAACAGTACACATTTGATACACATTTAATGTCCATTGTACAGCTGAACGTCTGTTGAAAGCTTATCCACCGGAATAAGTACAGACATTTTCAACCTAAACGCTAAAGAATGTGTATTCTGTCGTTTGTCATGACAAAACAACAAACATAACTACAAATTTGTGCATTCCTATTATCTTCTCCTTAAGTATCACATCCTATTACCCGCTATCGCCATGGCAAAAGCAATCGGTAACAGAAATCCGACAAATGTTTTTCGGAATGACTGATTTCTTTTCGCTTTTTTTTTAGTTTAAATTGCGTCATAGGTAATATTTTATGTTTCACGTATACTTATCATTCTGTAAAACAGTCGTCGGATCTGTGTTTTTTACCGACTGCATCTGTCGTGCCGATAGCCGGTAGTAGGGTGTGGTTCTAGCCTTTAAATGCAATATATTTAGGGGTTGCAAGCTAGGTGTAATGCAAGTGTTATGTCAGTACATATCAAACTCTTTAATCAAATAACACTATGAATTTTGGAATAAATAAAGTATGGTAGGCGTAAATAAGACACTTCAACAAATCCGAAAACGACATCTGCACGAACATGTTTTCTTGGGTTTAGACAAGATCGTATTTTGAAGAAGTGTTCGTGGCGTTGCTATATAAAATCATCTCATATATATATGGCGATAGATGTTAAATTGTAAGAAATAAAATTGAGAATGGAAATGGGGAATGTGTTAAAGAGACAACAACCCGACCAAAGAGCAGAAAACAGCCGACGGCCACCAATGGGTCTTCAACACAGCGCACCCGGAGGCGGACTTAAGTTGGCCCCTAAACAAAAATGTGTACTAGTTCAGTGTAAATGTACGTCATACTAAACTCCAAAACATATAAATGAACTAAAATTAAAAATCATACAAGACTAACAAAGGCCAGAGGCTCCTGACTTGGGAAAGTATAGTTCTGTATTAGATGGTTAAGTACTTTGACCTTCCTGTAAGTAACTGCAATAATACTTTGATTCAGTATTTGTGAGTATTATCCTACGTGTATCTGTGTTTAATAGGTCTTAAAGTATCTTTACCAAGGTCGATGAAAAGTGAACTTTTCAACTTTGTGCGCTGTGAAAATTTATTATTGGGAATACATTATCTAATGAGTAATAGGACAATTCAAAACGTATTCGAGAATTTTTCTGAATTCTACAAATAAGAAAACTTACGGAGATAGTCGGAGGAGATATGAGCTAAAATTGATAAAGTTGTCAATCCTTATACATTGAAGATAGCTCACCTTTTAATATCGACAAATTAAATAACAAAGATACATAGAAAAACGTAAAATGGAAGCCAGTTAAAAAAAAGCGTTTTACACTCACCAATGCGGGAATAGGACACAACAAAAATACTGCAACAAACAAAACAAATATAATAAAATATACCACATCAAGGAATGCTCCAAGTTACTGAAATTAAGATCAAAGAATTTTTTCATCTATTATGAAATATCAGAAATATCTACTTTGAAGTGAATTATGCGCAATAACGTCATAAACAGTGCGGTAAGGCTCAATCTTGTGAAAAGCAAAAAGAGCGAATGTGTACAAAATATTAGACAGAAAAAATAGAGCAATCATTAGTTCTAGTTAAAAATTAAAAACAAAACCCAAAGAATTGGTAGCAAATCCCACGAAAAAATTCTAAACACAATGCCTGAATCAAAACAGTATAATTATAACATTTATAAATACGTTTTAAGCAAAACAGTTTGATTTGGAACTTACTATCAAAATGTTTTTGTTTTATAAATATTACCATAAGTATTTTTGTTGTTATTGAATTACTGCAGATGGAATTATACTTTCACAATGCGTCACTGTAGATTGCACTCCACAAGTGGTGGTACGTTTGATTGTTGTGAAGAGTCGCCATAAACTATTATTCATAACATTCAAAGAACAAATATAAGAGGGAACCGTTTGTACCAATCGTAATACGATTCAAATGATGTTAAACTTTATCTCCAACACAAACATAAATATTTAGTTATTTTATTTTAATATTTAGAAGAAATGTAATGTATGAACTGCAACAGATAAGGTTACAACAAGATTGTTATATACACCTTTTTATCAAATAGTAAAGTAATAGTATAGTCAGTAGCTATTGTAACATTGTTGACTGCTTTGAACAAACACAACACGCTTTCTGGCAATATTACTTTTTTTCATTCTAGTTATTTTTGAAGTAGAACTAGTCTTAGATGCATGATTTTTTTATTAGTTGTTATTGGTTTTAAACTAGCTTTCAGTAACTGCGAGTAATCGCAGATCTGTACTTGGTGTCTTTTTGTTGTGAGAATGTATAAGTACCCTGCCACATCCGGTCTATGTTTTTGTTAGAATTATTTCTGCTATGTATCGATCTAATGAGTTAAGCTCTTTTCAACTGATTTTTATAGTGTGTTCTTATGTTGTACTGTCACATCACTGTCCAAGGTTAGGGGAGGGTTGGCGCCTTTAAACTAGTTTAACCCCACGACCTTCTGTATGTGCCTGTCCCAAGTCATAAGACTGTAATTCAGTGGTTCGTGATTGTTGTTTAATATCATATTTGTTTTTCGTTCATTATTTTGTACATAACTCAGGCCGTTAGATTTCTCGTTTGAATTGTTTTACATCTGTCATTTCGGGGCCTTTTATAGCTGACTATGCGGTATGGTTTTTACTCACTGTTGAAGACCGCACGGTGACATTTAGCTGTTACCTTCTATGTCATTTGGTCTTTTGTGGAGAGGTGTCTCATTGGCATTTATACCACATCTTCTTATTTTTATAATTTGTATATGGTTACTTTTAAAATGTTTAATACTTACTAGTAAACGGATTCATTGAGTAAACATTAGAGCCAATAATTACAGCAAGCGAAAAGGAGTCTGTCATGGGAGAATACATTAAGACATTGGTAAAAGCTGTCTATATATTTTGCAGAATACACAATGTTATTAGCTAGCTGAAATGATGTTGACAGATGAAAACAATCTATGTAACAAGACCAAGTTCGATGCTTTTTTAACATGTGATTAGCTAAAGGCGAATCTGGTTTATTGGATGATATGTTGAGTAAAAAGTTTACACAATTGTAAGTCTGCAAAATTTTTTTAGTCAACATTTTTTTGTTTTAAATTGATTCAAAGCTGATCTTTGTAATTAAAGAAATTATAAACAACTATTGCAGAGAAAAGGAACAAGGCGGTAAGCCATTGTTAAAACTTCTCCCAATGAAGTAAGATCTTTAAACTCACAAAGATACAAGCTTAAAATTTGGTACGCCATACACATGTTTCGTTTATATAAGACTCATCAGTGGCTCAAATAAATGCAAAGTCATTGTTCCAAAATATTGTACCAAATACGGCTTCAGTCATTAATCTCTGGGAGTAGAAAATCCTTAGTGTTTCAACAAATTTACAAATATGGCCATATCAATTATATTTGATGTAAACACTGAAGAGCTGAATTTTGGCTTGTGAAACCCTCCTTTAATAAAAAAATGGTGGATTGAACCTGGTTTCATAGCTAGTCAAACCTCCTAATTATATGGCAATGTTAAAAAATGTCACTAAGATGACAACACTACGTGACAATACCAGGTTTACAATTTGGAAAACTCGAAGCCGTGTGTTTCAAACTCTTAAGACTCAAAATGTGCAGCCAGATACAGCTAAGGTCATCTTTGCCTGGGAATAGAAAATTCTAAGTGTAAAACTGACACACATGGGAGTAAAAATAAACGAAATAAGATGAACTTTAAACGACTGAGACGATTTATAAAAGAACATATCCAAAGAAAAAATTATCGGTCAATATGTGTTCTACAAGGATCACCAGTCCTTCACCTTTCATTGGATGCCTTAATAACTAAACTATTTTCTACATTTTTTATATTTACACCTATGCTTAGGAACTATTTTGTTTTAAATGCGTACTACTTTCCTGTATGTCCTTTATGACCGGGCCCGATTTAGTGGTGTCACATTATACAAAGTCTATCCGAATCATTTTGCAAAGAATTCCGCTTAATCAGGTGCTAGGGTTCGTCTTTGACTTGTAGTCAGATGAGAGTTTTTTTGGCTCGGTTTGAAGGCCTCGCTGTGACTTTAAAACGAAGAAAAGCAATAAAAGCACTATTCCTTTGGTTTTGTGTGGTTGTTGCTGTGAATATATTGATTTTTTGTCATGGAATGATACCCCATATCCTTTGTTTTTCCATTACAACAACCTTCAAAATGTTCCATTGTACGACACTTTTTCACAATATTTTTTTTGAATATAGTATGGATCATTTTTGTGTTTTATTGCAATTAAGGTTTAGAGTTTGAATATTTTGTCGTAAAAAATATATTACGAAAAGGAATCATGTTGTTTATTCAATTAATCTTAATTAATGGCCACATAAAACGTAACGATTTTGAATGAATATTTTATTGCAGGAAGCAGTAAATACGCCATAGCAACGAAAGCATTTTTTACAACATTACAAATGATAAACAACAGAGAGCCATACATAAAAAGCACTATAAGAAAATAAACAATATTAAGTAACATTATGTGATCTGATTGATTATGCAGATTTTATGTTATTAATCAATTTCTTTATAAGTAAAATGACGTTAATCTAAATTAATACTGTAACTTGTTTAGCCAAGAAGAATAACATTTTGGCAAATTTACAGCCTTATTGATCTATAGGCAGGGCATATTGATAAAAAATGGTATTCGTTTTCAACACACTGCATATTACAACATTAAACGTTATTCTCTGGTCATATCAGTTAAGTTCAAGTTTCAAAAATCAGCTTTAGTGTACTACTGTAATCTAAATGATGTTTAAACTTAAATTCTAACTTTATATTCTTATAACTACTACGTTTTGCATTCCTTTCTACGGATGCTAACCATCTTTGTATATACTGATCTTTATTTCTATTCTCAATACATCGATAAATATTTATATATATATAATTCAGACAACTATCAAATAATAAATCACATACATTAGAAGCCAGCTTCAAGTAATAATTGTAAACATCATATACAATTGGTGTTTTGTTAGTTAGAATATTCAACCAGCATTTAAGAGTTCTCAATTTTATTAATAAACAGTGACCACAGAATCTCCGTGCAACAACGATGGAATCTAAAAATACAAAAGAATATATCTATAAGCTGAGGCAAATAAATAAATAAAAAATAAGATTATTTACGTTATTATTTTTTGCATGTGAACCTTTTCGGTACCCAACACCAAATACAAAGAAAACAAGTTTCTGTTTAGTATATATGCTATCTGTTATCAATAAATTACAATAAAATCAGTACAATATTTAACGTACGTGAGCTGAGGTATATGATTTTTGTAGATTTAATTTTTCGCGAATAATTTGCATTTACCAATAAACATCAAAACATTTTATGAATAGTCAGAAGAGCTTTTGTAGTTTATATGTTCCTTCTTCATTAAATGTTTAATGTCTACTCAGACGTTTAAGTTAATTGCTTCTATAATTCTTTGGTCATTTTGATAAGTATATTGAAATATCTACTTGTTTATTTGAATTCTGTATATCCAATGACGTCCAATGAGTTAAAAGCAAAACAATTCGATTTATAGCTCTATAAATCTATTTGTTAAAAATATCATAATGCCTTGAAAACAAATCATATCATAACTGTTCTCGACCATTTGCATCAGTTTATTCATACAAAAAACAAAATAAAAAAACGATAATCAAATTTATAAATTTTTTTTTTTTTTACTAATGCCATGATGAAATATTTGTTTTTCTTAATAATCATTAATAAATGTTAAAATAATTCTCAAGTCAATACCCGCGCTACCCTATTTAGACAGATATGGTTATTTCTATGTTTTAACATACTAAGAACTGACAAACGAACATATATATCCATGATTTACTTTGCAAAATGCTTCATTACATAGTGTTTGTTTTCCTTTGCAGTAGTACGTATCACATGTATTTGCACTTTTATATTGACATGATTTAGTTGTACGTATAAAAGATTGTGTCAAGCATCATTATTGTTGTTTTGTTCGGTATAACACATAACCTCTACTAGTATAACTTATAACTTTTACTAGTATAACACATAACCTTTACTAGTATAACACATAACCTTTACTAGTATAACACATAAGCTTTACTAGTATAACACATAACTTTCAACTAGTATAAAACATAACTTTTACTAGTTTAACATATAAACTTTACTAGTATACAGTCCCTGTAATGTAAAAGTTAACAATACGCCCGAATCATGTACGGACGATGCCCGAACGATGTATGCACGCTTCCCGAACGGTGTACGAATGCAAACGAAACGCTGACCGAACGTTGTACGGACACTGAAAGAATGATGTACGAATGAAACCATGTACCATAAACCATACCATAAACGATACCATAAGCGCTCTCTCAGCGTTCATCGTATGATTTTGCGTACATCGTTTCGTTTAGCGTATATCGTATCGTTAAGCGTACATCGTTTTCTTTAGCGTACATAGTTTTGTCTATCGTATACGGTATTTATAAATAAAAATTATTTGTGTTCTGTTAGAATCTGCAACAATATCTTTTTATAAAGTGATCAAAGGCTTAACATTTAGATTGGATGGATCTTTTTTATAATTTATCTGACTTTTCATTCAAATTTAGTAACATACAAAAATTAAAAAAAAAAATAAATACTGAAATTAATGTAAATAAAGGATATTTTGATGAATTTTATAGCCGTGGAAATACGTACTTGGTGAATGTGCGGGTAAAGTGCAGTCTAAAGGATATTTGGTCAAAATTTTCTGAAAATAGCCTAAGGTATACAAATTCTGTTGACCTTAATGAACATTTTTTTTAGATGGAATTCTAAATTAAACTTATTATTTACAAGAGTATATTCGAGGTCTTAAGGTTTGCCCTTTGTCCAAAAGGTTTGTAAAACTTTTTTTTTTGTATTGAATTTCCCTTTTATCACATTTTTGCAATTATTATGTATACACGAGACATACCAATGCTTAGCAATATTTTTATTGCTACAACTCAGTAATATAATATTTTTATCGTATTATTTCATACGAAATGAAGATGAAAAATCTGAATTAAAATATTTTCGATAACGAGGACTTTGGTGACAAGAGAACCAGATACGGTTTCATAATCCAGTTTTTCAAAAAACTTACAAATGAAATCAAACGCTAAAACTAAATACGGGTTTGTTAAAGAAAACTGGTTTTAGTTTCAATGTTTGATTTCATTTGGAGACCAAAGAATATTCTAAATAAAATTAATGAATATGGAAATTACAAGTTATCCTGTGCTTGATTTTCTTTTCGATGATGATTTAAATTTGATACCAATGATTAATGTTAATGGCATTTGCTGCTGGAAGAACAAAGAGGGACAAAAACCATTTGAAGGTTATGTTGAAAATGTGCTACCTTTCTATAATAACGACTTCAGATCTGTGTACCATGTAAGCAGATCACTGTTTGAAGAACTTGTGTGTGCATGATTTGTGACAATGTTGTAAAAAATCACCCTCGTGGCGGAGGTGAAAAGCCTGTGTCCGCGGAAAAAAATTCTTGTTGGATTGCATTATATGTGATGTCAGGAAACAATAAGACGGATTGCGGACAAATTTAATATTTCAGAATATTCAGTAGTAAAGTGCCGAAACAATTTCCTAAGTGCACTACATGATCGGTTACAGGACGTGATCAAGTGGCCAAATTAATAAAAATCTTCCAGTGACAAATATTTCATGTATTCATGACAAGAAGAAATCAACAACTTTAAAATACAATTGATTGGTTATTTAAGGTGATTCGATCCAAATGATTGGTGTTCAGTTAGGAAATTTATGAAACTTGGACAGACGCTTATCTTCATGATCAAGAAATATCAACGAAAAGAAAAGGAAGAGTTATTTTTTAAATCTGTATTTAACTCATACATGGACTCATGCACATTTTATATTCTAAATGACAGTTAAACACCGACAGCAGCAATCGCAAGCGAAACACTGGTTCCATAGAGGCCTTCACGAATTTTTATATATCCATGTCAATCCTTGGTTTATGTCAGACTAGGACATTGAGCGGAACAAGTACTAGGGAATGTTGGCATATCTTTTTTAGTCATAACATTTAAATCTTTGTTTTGTAAGAGTAGCAAACTTCATAGTGTATCTCATATAAAGCTTCGTTTACAGAACATTGTGTAAAATTAATTTTGTCAAGGAAATATTTGGCGAGAGAGAGTTGCGGTCAGGAATGGTTTACAGTTCGAAATCTACATAAAGTTATATTACATGTATATTTAGTTGATTGTATGGCTAAACGTTTCTCAAAATAAAACTTTTACAATCAGTATTAAGTATTTTTTATGACTTAATAAGTTTTAAGTAAATTAGATAGTTCACGTTCCATTGATCTAAGAGTATTGTGTAGATTACTTTTCCAAAATGTTATAATATCAAATTTGAAATGATATTTACAGAATGCTTCAAAATATAAACATATTTTTCCCCATTTCAATCCTCATTAAAGAAATTAAAAATTACGCAATTAGTATAAAACAAAAAATATAATAACTAAGATAACCTATTTGCTTTAATTGACAATCGAAATGTATATTTTTACAAGAAAGTAAATTTATAACTTACTTTCCAATCTAATATAATCCCAAAGGTGAATTCAGAATAGAAATATGGTAACTACAGGTCTTCTTCCGACCGGCTAAAGTTGGGCATCCGTTTGACTGTGCGGGTTGTACAAATACACAGCCTCGTCCGGTCAGAATGGAGACGTTTATTTCCGATGCCTCGTGTAGAGAGAGTGCCACGCTCTCTGCACGATAAGAACCCTTGTAAAAACTCTTTGAGTTGTCCGTAGGTGGTCTGTTGCAAGGCTAAATTTCTGTCTCTATCCAATATTTTTCAGTAGCAGTCTAAATTTCCCCGACCTTTATCCCGGACGGCCTCTTTTTAATTACCTACCTATTGTATTTATTGTAAATTTGTTCTCGTCCTGAACATGCATGAAATATTTGCCACTGAATTTTAAGCAACCAACAATTAATTAATCCAATCTAATAACTAGTTTTGTTTTATCCCTCTATTTTTTATAGTGAATTATCTTTTATTTTTTTTATCTTCTTAACTCCAAATATTATTTATATAATAATTGAAATAAAATTTCTGAAATAAAAACCCGACATATATCATACGCTTAACAACACGATATACCATACGACAGATGAAACGCTTAACGATATCATATACTATACGATAAACGAAACGCTAAACGATACCATGTACCATACGATACATAAAACGCTAAACGATGACATTTACCATACGATGAACGAATGATGTACGAACGTTGTGCGAACGCTATACGAATGATGTACGGTCGATGAACGAACTCTATACGAACGATTCCCGAACGCTGTACGTACGATTCCCGAATGAAGAAAGTGTTAACTTTAAAGTTACAAGGACTGTAACACATAACCTTTACTAGTATAACACATAAACTTTAGTATAACACATAACCTTTACCAGTTTAACACATAACCTTTACTAGTATAACACATATAATACATAACCTTTGTGAAAACACGTAGCAGTTAAATCATGTTTACCAGCAGTATCGACTGATTGAAAAAAAAAATCATCAGATAATGAAAGAAAACCAGAGAATAATATTTTGCTAATTGCAACAATAAGACTGAAGGTGTATCTTATGTCTGTGATTGAGAGACAGATCATTCTACACACTGTTGTTTCAAAATAATGAATTGCGTTTCTCGATAAAACAGTAAACTACAAATTAAGAAATAAATAGCGATAGAAATTTGTCCAAGTTACCCACACGAGGAGGTAAACTAACTCACAGGGACGTCCAAGTGGATGAATTCAGAAACAGCAATGCCCGATCTGAATGAAGACGATGGCGATGCCTCAGTGAGAGAAAATATGCCTTCCTCTCCGTACGTTATCGAACCATTGCAACAGCTGTTTGATGAGTGTGTTCGTGGCCTGTTGTAAAATTGATGTCAGCATCGTACATGTACTTCCCTGTGCCGATATCATCAGTGCGATCGCTCCGTATTCTTGTATCACGGCGTATTAATATGACGTTAAAGCAGAACTTATCAGCAGCATTACAATATGATGGGAGATCTAATCAATGACATCAATATATGAGAGCAGAATTTATTAAGCTTACTTTTAGTAAGACAATGACAAGAACTAGTTTGATAAACAGATTTTTTACGTATAAATGACGTTTAATACACTCTCGACACAATAAGTTTTTTTTATCTTTCGCTGCGCTCTCTTACCAAACAAATTCCCCTTACTGCGAAATGTATTTTGTATGAAAGTGTTAATGATACAAAAAATGTTCAGTCTTTTTTTTATTTCCATAAAAATATGATATTATGTACACTATAGAGGAGTTTGGTGTTTACTTTAAAAATGTAATTTTAATTCCTGAACCGAAGCATATATTGTCAATTCAAAGAACGAAAAACATTTTTACAGTGAGGCAAATGAAAGGTAATAGAGAAGTTTTACTGTGTTCTGTAAAAGAGAGGTGGAGGATACCAAAAGGACATTCAAACTCACAAGTCGAAAAAAAAAACTGACAACGCCATGGATAAAAAGAAAAAGACAAACAAACAACAGTACACCAAACACAACATAGAAAACTAAAGACTGAGCAACACGAACCCCACCAAAAACTGGTGTTAAACATGTTTAATCTTTTCTTGTATTGATTTCAACAGGAACGCATAAAACCAAAATATGAGAAATTCAACGTTGGAGATAACATTTTATTAGGTATCAATTGAAAAGGTTATTTTACAACCTTAGTTTTTTTGTAAATTTTACAAAATTCATCAGCGTGGAGCATAATAAAACATAGACCAAGTCAACAGTGATTTATTTTCATTTAATTTCAGTATTGAAAATATTTGCTACACATGTTTTTGATAGATATATAACTAATTATTAGAATGACAATACATACCTTTTTACACATCGCAATATCTTCTAATTATTCTGTTTCAGCCCCTTGTCGGTATTATAATTGTGTTCACTGAAAAATAAATAAAAAAATCATTTGAAATTCTTATATCATTGATATTTTGTTGTATTTTTTAAACCTTCAAAAGAAATATGTAGATATTTTATTAATTTACATCAGTTGATCATCGAAGCTGGAATATTGAGGACAAAAATTTGGTTATTTAAAGTTTTTCCCATAACATCATGTATTTTTAACTTAAGAGATAAAAAGAAATCGAAATCCTAATTGAGCTTTATGTGACCCATCCTACATGAAATGCTTAATAAACTTTAAATAAGTCTAGAAGCAGCAAGTCGGACTTATCCGCTATAAAATTAAAGGTAGTTGCGATCCGGGTTAGATTGACCATACAATCAATTGTATTTAGGATTTTCAAAACACATACTTAGTTCAGTGCTGATCAATGTATTTTACTAAAACACCTCATTTTCAGTTTAAATATGTCCTATCATGGGTTATACGGTTATAAAAAAAACCAACAGATTCCCTAAATTGACGAGAATGCATAGCATATTGCCTGTTTGACTCATTCATGTTACGAAATCATGTAGAGCCCAACTCACTCAAACAAATATCAACAAAGTAAGTGTATTTTGTTATCTTTTCACTAACAACACATATTTTGCTTATTTTTGGGTTTTCGTTCTTCGAATCTGCCGCATGACGTCACTTTATTAAATGATTCCTCATCACATTGTTTTATAAAACCAAAGCTAATACATACATATGAAATTTTTTTAAGTTAATTATTCCAAAGATTATTACTTAAAAAATTTCAATAAAATTTACTAAAAAGTATATCTAGATTAAAAATAGCAACATACGATGAACTATTTCGCCTGTGTAGGAATTCATACCAGTGAAATTTGTTTGGTGATCATAATGCTCGCCAATGAAATAAGACCATACGTTCGACATTGGGATAAAAAACTGGTATACTACTTTGTTTTTAGTTTTCTGCAAATTTCCGGACAATATTAACTGAAAGAATGTACATACTCTGTTCACCGGCTTAGGGATCTCTTAAAAAGATAGGTAATCATTTGAAGGATATCTTGTTAGAGAAATAATCCAGAGACTGTTCATTAGGCTATAACCAAAGAGGCTAAATTATTAACATGATAGTACTAATGCTAATTTTCTTGAAATTTAAATCCAAGAGTTTGATAATTCTGGGATAACAAAAGTTAAGATCGACAGCTTGACAATTATAAGTGGTACAAAAGTCTATCATATAATGAGAAAATTGTAAAAGTTTAATTGAGATTTCAATATCTTGTTTAGCAAAAACTGCGGATAAGGGATGCTTACTCCCATTTATGAAAAAGTTCATGAAGATCTATAGAAAAACTAATACATCATTTATGGGGAAATAAAATTACAAGAGAAGATAAGGACCATGACCACTATTAACGCCCCTTTGTTTTCTTTGTCTATGACTAATGTTCCTGTAATCTTTTTTAATTTCTGGACCTTTTTTTTATGTCTTAAAGCATTTTCTTTCACAAAGGAGTTAGGGGATATTTAGACCGTTAGACATAATATCTTAAGACCAAAGCAATATTCATACATAATGTTGTAAAAAACAGTTTGACCGCCAGGTGAGGTTTTATAAAACGCGAACAATATAGATGACATAGATTTAAGATATATCATGCGTTTGTCAGATGAGTAAAGTATATATGAAGACGCCACTTTAAAAGTATTTATTTATTAGCTTAACAACAGTATCGAAGTATCAGTAGTGAAAACCAAAATTGAAGTATAAACATTTTTGTGATCAGTTATGCGATTTACGAGACTCTCTAAATGCATAATAATTTACTCAAAACTCTCTAAGAAAATCGGTATTAACAAAAAATACCAATCTCCGAGGTATAATTCCAAAAGAGGGGTCTCCATAACAACTGAAAATCAAACGTTAAACCTTTTCAACCAACGGAACAAATGGAAAACAACTGTCACATTACTAACTAAGTACAGGCATTTTCCGACGTAAATGGTGGGTTACATCTGGGATATATGTTTAAAATTATATTTAGAATATAATTGGCGATTTCTCGGAAAATAGCTATGAACTGAATCTATAAGACGCTACATTAATTTGTATTTCTATCCATTTCAGTATAATTAGAAGAATATAATCGTACTAAATTAAATTCAATTCAACCAAAGCGAAGAAATTCGTTTAAGAAGATTCGTATGGTATATTTTGTAAACGCACCATTGAGAACGTCTTAAATGACTATTTAATTTCCTACTGAATATGTCATTTTTAATCTAAATTCTTATAGCACAAAATGAATACAGCTACAATTAACCATTTTATTTTTGGAGAATTCGATAAATCTAATACCTATCGCTTGAATTAAAAAAAATAAGGGAATTATCATGTAACATCTAGAAAAAGATTGAAGGGTATGTATCTTCGCGAAATCTCCCATTTGTTTTTAAAAAAAATATCATTTGAATTGAACGCTAAAAAAGGAGATTAATCTGAGATGGCAATTTGCTTCCATGACGAGCATTGAAAATTCCGGAGATAATGTAAATGACATGATTTGCGTATATAAAGGGATATAGATCACCGTTAAAGGTATTGTTTTGTTTAATTTCATTATTAAAACATACGTGAGCAAGCTTCATTTGCAATCCTTTTTCTGAAGGACTTTGATTTCAATGCCGCAAAATTGTTCACCCGGATACTGAAACTATCTATTGTTATGCATAAAATCTCACTCCAGTCGATGTTAATGCCAATACCAATGGCAAATACGTTTACCCCGCTATTTCGTAGTCTCTTTGCTGCCTCGCAAGTTTTTGTTTTATTTTGAGATTTACCATCTGTCATCACAATTGCGATTTTTGGAACTCCAGGTCTTGCTCCTGTCAAAATGAATGTAGAGATTGAATTCGATTATACTATCATAATACAACGTTTTTTGTCACTTTTCACAAAGTTCAGTATTTATTGCAAGAAGCAAAATGTCGGAACGGTTTTGAATGTACCGATCAGCCTTTTAAGATCGGTTCAAATTAGTATGGTCGATTAACTTAAAATTGTGTATATAAGATTAACTAAGGATTCTTACGGAATAAATGAAATACCTACTTCATTTCTATATATAAAAGTAATAATTCTGACATGAATTTTTTACGCACAGTAACTCAATTAAACCTGACATTAGTATTTTCCTTTTAAGGGTACAAAAGTAATCATATGTCAGTGCCATCAGAGTCTCAATTTGTATTTAGGTATCATAATATACAGTGTTTGAAAACATACCAAATCTAAACAAACGGGTTATCGTCAACCTCATAGGGGATACATTCTATTTTCAAAAGCTGTTCATTATATCGATCACGTTCAATAGCAAGCGTAATATTCTTAATTCTTATTTTTGTATAGTTTTTTTCTAATCTTAATTCAACAAGACACGAAAAGGAAGTTGTAAAAGTAATCTAAACAAAGGCAACAGTAGTATACCGCTGTTCAGAAGTCATAAGTCGATTGAGAGAAAACAAATCCGGGTTACAAACTAAAACCGAGGGAAACACATCAACTATAAGAGGAAAACAACGGAACAACAGAAACACTGAAGTGCAGAAAAAACAAACGGCAATGCAACATACATAGAAACGAACTATTTGATAACAACTGCCATAATCCTGACTTCGTACAGGCCATTTTAAGAAAAAATGGTTGGTTGAACCTGGTTTTATGGCTAGCCAAACCTCCCGCTTATATGGCAATGTTAAAAATACCGTTGAAATGACAACATTATGTGACAGGAATACAGTACAAATAAATGCAAGAACACTCAGGACAGAGAAATACATAAATAAATAATATAATAGTACATTTTGACATGTAAACCACAGAATAATAACGAACACCTAAAATTAAATTTACGACAGTACACAAATACAGCATAATAGAATTATGAACTATGCGTCCCACGAATGTATCAACGCCACAAAAAGTGACGTCACAGGTAAATTTCTAAAAATTTAATATAAAATCGGGATTAATGGTAATTGTAATAGTGTTATTTGATGTATTTTCTAACAAATACAAGAATTATTATTAATATAGAATTGGTTAGTAATTGTGTAATTATGGTGTAACTAAAGAAGACAATTAAAAAAAAAGTTTTTTGCTATGTTATTCCTTGATAATTTAATTTTGGATGTAACACGTCTTCTGATTGGCTGAAAGTGCTTTGTCTATCAGCTCATAGACATAATTTTGTCATGTGACCGTGACGTCACCTACGTTTTTATTTCAAAATTTACTTCTAACATGGAATTTAGAATTTAATTATAAGGAATTACTGTAATATTTATTCTGTCTATTCGAAATAACCTAAAAATGTGGTGTACACTTTTAAATAACCCGCTATGCGGGTTATTCAGTGTGCACCACATGTTTAATGTTATTAATTAACTACACTGTTATTGGACTTAATATGATGAAAACTGCCTATGCAATATAAAGGTGTCAACTCGGCCAATACAGAATAACTCGGCCAATATAGATTTTTTTTCTGTATTGGCTGAGTTCTGATCCGGTCAATACAGGATTTCGGAACGTCTCTAGGTTTTAGATCGAAAGTCACGATAAACACAAAGTGAAAGTAAACAGTTGTTTGGAAGACGCAGTTTTCATTTACTCACCATAAACATGCTGAAACGTTCAGTATGGCATATATTTCAGGCTGAAGAAGGTCACATTCATTTAAAAAGCATTTTGAAAGCAGACGATGGAATCATTTCAGGTTTGGGGAACGAGTAGATTATCACAAAGTTCATTTCTTGTCGACCTCATAATTTCACGATGGTACAAATCGATTTACTGTTCGCTTCTCATGTTTTGTAAACTGTCATTTATTTTTAAACCCGAACCAGGCATATGTATTCTGGAAGGGTGACCTGTAATTGTGCAAATCTTCGTTCTTTGGTCAATTGGCTTATGGATAGTTGTATCATTTTCAACTCCTACATTATTTTTTTTTAGATATATTCAATTTGTTTCTGCATAACACATGCAATGGCAGTACCTTTCCAATTACTATTTATGTGTTGTGTCTAAATTTAAATTTTAACACTTTATAGTGACTGGAAAGGGTAGAAAAATTCATCAGATGAGAAAATGCTGAAGACACCTGGAAACGGCACCAGATCATTAGATATTGCATCTTATAAAAAGAAACTGAGATTTTGATAGTACCACTTCAAGGTAAAATGTTTATCTCTTGTGAAATGAAATTAAAAAAATATTGTAACACTGTAGTTAATTAATAAAGATACTATTACGTGTATTTCTGTATTGGCCTTGTTATTGGTCATCGGCCAGCTGTATTGGCCTTCGGCTTCGCCTCAGGCCAATACAGCAAGCCTCGGACCAATAACAAGGCCAATACAGAAATACTCACGTAATAATATCATATTATTTCTTTATAGACAGAAAAAATATTAAAGTCATTCCTTAAATATCTAGCCAAATAAATGTATATCTTCAAATAGTGAAAGTTGAGAAATGACGAGCAGGGTTTTATCTGGGGAATTATAGGGAAAAAAGCATCCAAATTATTTTATATAAAAAAAATCGCAAACTTTTTCGTTCGTTTAAAACATATAAGACTAAAATTAGTAATCAAATCAGTCCTGATTTCAAAACCAGGAAAAATGAAGATTATCTTAAATATATTTCGTTTTTTTTATCAGTCAACAAATTGGTTTCAATAAAAAAACATATGCTTGTATTTCAAAATGTCATTTTAAAATTACAATAAAAGTTCACTTCATTAAACATATGTTTCGGGAATGATACATAGCTGTTTTTTTAAAGCGTTTAATCATATTTCAATAAACAGTCTAGTGACAGAAAGCTTACTGAATCCATGCATATTTGCAGGAAGCACCACATATGCATTATAATTTATTGTTCAGTCTTTTAAGAGCTATTCAGATCAAAATGACCGTTTCAGGCTTACATTTGTTTAATAGTGCAGTAATCTTAAATACTTAGGTCATTTACACATTATCATGACGTGATCTACTTGAAACTAAAGAAAATATATATGACATACAGTATAAATTTCGTTTCAGGTAGTAAGACTATCTTCTTAGTTAAAAGGTTCATTTGAACAAAAATGAAACACCTTAGATCAACAGTAAATCTCATGTTTCTTGGGATGTGTGGGAATTTGAGGTGAGAGTAAATTAACAATGTATTATAGTATATAATGTTAAATGGCTAAAATATCAAAAGATCATGTTGAAAATTAAAATTATCCTATTTTAAGGCCTGCTTCCCTAGAAAGAAATTTAAACATTAATATGCACTTTAAACGTTTTAGAACTCTTGATGCTAGAGCTAAAATACAAAGAACTGCAATGAAGCATATCTTTTCTTCATTCAGAAATAATATTATTACATATCACAAGCAAACAAATTGTAAAGCCCCATTTCGTTTGTCGTATGATACAACAACAATCGTAGTGTGCACGTGAATGACGTACATTCGAATGTTCTAATATGGTTACTGCAAAATTATAATTAATCAAAAACCAATTGTTCAGAGAAACATTCAGGTCAGGGTCTTTCAACTCACTTGTTGATAATTAAGGTTTAAATGAACTTTTCTACATATATGCATTTTTTTTGTCAGGAGATAAGTAATATTAATAAGATTAAAAATGTAAAGTTTGTAGTTATTTCTTTAAAATTTAAAATACGGAATGTGATCAGCTACTTCCGGTTTAAAAAAATCACTTTCGGTGTCACTTTATACATAGTTTTTACTGATTCTGAATTGTATGGTTTCCGGTGTACAAAATTCTCAAGTTAAGGATAATCGTCTAATTTTGGCTCCTATTTCAGCTGTTGTTTACAGGGTTGTTATCATCTCTTTCATTCTCTGCGTGTAACATACAATGAAACAATGATTAAATAAGATATTCATCGCATGAAATAATGACTTGACCGTTCAAATTTGCAGTACTTATGGATTTATCACCCCTCCTCAACCTTTAAAGAAAGCAACTTGTTTGTTATATAACTAGGATTGACAATCTCCAGATATGTCTTAAGTAGTGTCAAAATTATATGATATTTGTATAACTAATTTTAATTGACTTTTTGATTTTGTATATAGTAATTGAATATCTTTCTATACTAATTAATTACCTACCATAGCTTTCAGAAAAACTTTCCGTTCTTGCATGGTCTAGTGCAATCCAAGTATATGTAAGTCCTGGAACATACGGAATTTGTTTAATCTTCATTTGAAGAGCGAACCAATTGTTCCATTGATTCAGCTTTATCATTGTTTTTGCTGTTGTGGAAAATCTGTCTACGCCAACTTGTGTGTGTTGACTGCCAATTTGGAAATGATGGGCGATATTTGCTGCGGTGTTTAACATAGTTTTGAAGTTCTGCAATGTAACACTACCCGACGAATCAAGAAGGAAAACCATATCTCGTTTCCCTCCACATTCTGTGAAAATGAAAAAAAGATGATTATTCATCAGAAACCGCATTGCGCTTCCTACATCTTCTGTTTTAATTGCGTGTGTTGAGTCTTCTTAGTTTGATAGTTTCTAATCAAATTAAACATCAAATAAATATCATGAATTAACTTCCAATGTTTAGTAAAGTTTGAATATTCTTAAATCTATTATTATGTGACTAAGTTACTTAGTGATAACATACGTATTATGACTTTATATGGTAATCTCATAATCAAAAGTTATGTTGTCCTTGTAATCACAGAATCCCAATGTTTTTGCTATTGTACAATTTAATCAGATGATCACAATATTTTTGTTATTGCAATAGCACAATTAAAATAATTTTATAATTGTAATTACATATTACAATAATGTTGTAATCATATTATCACAATGATCTTATATATATGTCACGTAATTACAAGTTTTGTTTTAATCTTATCACATAACAGAATGTTTTTGTCATTGTAATCAAATGATCAAGATGTTTTGGTTCTATTAATCATATAATCACGACCGTTTTGATTATATCAATCACAATGCTTATGTCATTGTCATCACATAATCACAGTGTCTTGTCATTGCAATCGCATGGTCACAATGTTGTTGTAATTCAATAACTACAATCATTATTGTGTTCTGCCTTCGCTAATGTCATTCTTTTCTTCCGTAAGTTAAGAATATTTGAAGTCAAAAATTACTAACTAGATATTCATTACATATTAAGGATAAAATCATACATTTTCAAATCATAGTAATCAGATAAACAGAAGGGCCCTGAGAAACTTGTAAGGTAAATGGTCATATTCATTTTAAGATGCTACATGTTGCAAATTTTTATGAACAGGCAGCATGTTTTCTGTAATTTATGGACAACTCCCCGTTACTCTGATTTTGTTATTTTATGATTTTCTACAGACTTTAACCTTTATGGATTTTAATTTCGATGTGGTAAATCTTAAACACAAGTTGTTTCTTCATAATGAAAGGTGCTCTATTTTAGAAAAGACGAAACTTCATACATTCTGAAACTGATTACCAATGAATTGATTAGAATCTGTATTATAATTATGTTCAATGTTATCAGTTCGCGTATGATCAGCGTATGATTTCCGATTCATCATTGTTCTTAACAATTAGTTGTTCTGTAATGCCTTTCTCGAACAAGCAAAACAAAATTAAGCATAATGCTTTTAAATTTAAAATTGAAATAATTTCAATACTCATTCGTCTTTTTTCTTGTCTTACATTAAAAAATTTTGGCCAATAGTACCTCAATCTATTCCCAAATATTGAAAATATCTAAAAAAAAACTTACAACTCAAATCAACTCCTTAATAAATACTTACAAATTCTTCTTATTCTTGAATATATTTCATACACTTGTACAATTAATTATGTCAATAGATTTCATTTGATACGCAGATTGACACTTATCCCGCTGAAATTTTATTTAATCAAGATTTCGAATACGCAAAACTTTATAGTTTGGATTAATTATGCATTTTTATTGAAAAATACGTCTTTTATGAAAATAATATCGAAATTTCAGTAGCAAACTCCCTTTGAGATAATGGAGGAGAAGATACCGTAAGACGAAGAATAACTATTTCTAATTTGCTTATATGAAAAATAAAGAATTTTTTTCTTAAATTATGTATTTAAATTAACAGTGTGAAACATTAAATAGAATATATAATGGAAATGGGGAATGTGTCAAAGAGACAACAACCCGACCAAAGAGTAAAAACAACCGAAGGCCACCAATGGGTCTTCAACACAGCGAGAAAATCCCGCACCCGGAGTCGGACTTAAGCTGGCCCCTCAACAAAAATGTAAAAATGGACGTCATACTAAACTCTAAACATATAAATGAACTAAAATTAAAATAACATACAAGACTAACAAAGGCCAGAGGCTCCTGACTTGGGACAGGCGCAAAAAATGCAGCGGGGTTAAACATGTTTAGTGAGATCTCAGTCCTCCCCTTATACCATAAAGTTTTGTACGATAACTGTTATGTGTTTTTAATTCAGCCTACACAAAACGTAGGTGTTAGTGTCACACAGTGAGTTTACCTACCGACGCCTGGCTGAGCTAGACAAACGGATATTTGCGACAGAAAAAAAACCCCAAGTTTTACGTAGGCCAAGCTTGAAATACAATGCAGTTATTTCCATTCTAATGCAAAACTAACAGATATTCAAGTTGAGACCTTTTTCGGAATAAAAATAACATAAATAAAAATTCCAAAATGATTATTCTTATCTCTGTAACCTAACAAGTTATGGCGTCATCGATACGATTCATGCGTCCAAGCGTAAGCACTAGAAATTGGTTGGCCTTATGTACAAAAGCAATTTGATAGGAAGGATTATTGCAGGTGAGACATATTCTTATTTTGTTTATTATTGAAGAAATTACATACCAATACATTCCGAAATTAAATATGGGGGAGCCCTTTAGGTATAGACTGGTAGAACGTGGAATTTCACCCCTTACAATATATGCTGCTGATCAATCATAATCGGTATACAAGTTAATCCCATTAAAATTCTGTGTTTCTTTTGAATACTTACTGTTGTTAATCAAGGCAATAAAAGGCTTCTTTGGTTTAGCATCTATTTTCTTTAGTTGGCCATCTATAATACCGATTATGATAGCAATCAGAAGTAAAAATAACGTGGTTGTATATGGTGTCAGCATAACTGATGCAATATTTAATTTCCTGAAAACGAAAGGATAGATTTTACATAGTTTTATGCATACAGAAAATAAAACTCTCAGTGGATACAATATTTTAAGTCGTTTTTTTTTCTATCAAGTTATTTTTTTTAAAGAAATTTGATGCAAAGGATAAAGCTACAATCTCCTTGATATCTTCGTCCGTTTATAGAAAATATAAAGCCATCTTTTGTGTCGTTGGATTGTTGTTTCATTGATGGATACCCCAAACATTCATTTATTCATTTAACACTCTTGCTGCCGCTAATTTTATATGGTTATAATTCGTGTGCCAGAAAATAAGACAGCTTGACGTCTGTTACGTCACATGCCTAACAATGACGTCATTCGATATATAACATCACGCCTTAATGACATTACTTTTGGACCCATCGAAGAAAAATATTACACGGTTTAATCTTCAGTATTTTATTTTAAAGAGATACAGCAATGATTAAAAACTTATATAAATAAACATATGGACATAATTATGTGTCCCTCCGGCATAAGAATTACAACTGACGCATATACGTAACACAGTTGATGTATCGAGCATATAAGTGCCAAACTCGATGTATCAATCATATACCGCTTAGGAACACAACTGATAATGTATCGAGCATATACGTACATAATTGATGTATCGAGCATATAAGTAACACAGTTGGTGTATGGAGCATATAAGTAACACTGTTGATGTATCGAGCGTATAAGTAACACAGTTGATGTATCGAGCGTATAAGTAAACAATCGATGTATCGAAAATATAAATAACACTGTTGATGTATCGAACATATACAAGTAACACAATTTATATATCGAAGATATAAGTAAGAAAGTTGATGTATTGAGCGTATAAGTAACACAATTGATGTATCGAGCGTATACGTAACACTTGATGTATCGAACATATAAGTAACACAATTGATGTATATAGCGTATAGGAAGTAACACAATTGATGTATGGAACGTATAAGTAATACCGATGTTGTATTGAGCGTATAAGTAACACCGTTGATGTATCGAGCAAATACGAAACACCATTGATGTATCGAACGTATAAGTAACACAATTGATATTTTGAACATATAAAAATTACACAATTTATATATCAAAGACATAAGTAACACAGTTGATGTGTTGAGCGTATAAGTAACACAATCGATGTATCGAGCGTATAAGTAACACTTGATGTATCGAGCATATAAATAACACAATTGATGTATCGTGTGTATAGGAAGTAACACAATTGATGTAACGAACATATATGTAACACAGTTGATGTATCGAACATATAAGAAACACATTGATATATCGATCTTGTTAGTAAGACAATTGATGTATCGAGCATTTAAGTAACACTGTTGATTAATCGAGCGTATAAGTAACACCGTTGATGTATCGAGCGTATAAGTAACACCGTTCGTTGATGTATCGAGCGTACAAGTAACACAATTGATGTATCGAACATATAAGTGACAAACTTGATGTATCAATCATATACCGGTTAGGAACACAATTGATAATGTATCGAGCATATACGTACATAATTGATGTATCGAGCATATTAGTAACACAGTTGGTGTATCGAGCATATAAGTAACACTGTTGATGTATCGAGCGTATATATAACACAGTTGATGTATCGAGCGTATAAGTAAAAAATCGATGTATCGAAAATATAAGTAACACTGTTGATGTATTGAACATATACAAGTAACACAATTTATATATCGAAGATATAAGTAACACAGTTGATGTATCGAACACATAAGTAACACATTGATATATCGAGTTTATTAGTAACACAATTAATGTATTGAGCGTTTAAGTAACACTGTTGATTTATCGAGCGTATCAGTAACACCGTTGATGTATCGAGCGTACAAGTAACACAATTGATGTATCGAGCGTATAAGTAACACAATTGATGTATTGAGCGTATAAGTAATACTGTTGGTGAATCAAGAATCCAAGTAACACCGTTGATATATCGAGTATTTATGTAGCACAGTTGATGTGTCGAGCCTTTATTAGTACGACAGTAGATGTATCGAGCATATATTAGTAAGACAGTAGATGTATTGTGGATATATTAGTTAGGCAGCACTATGCTAAGAAATCTGTTTACTTTCTTTTTAATACAGATGTTTCGTTTTCAATTTCCCTTTATATTATGTATGATTAAATTGAATGTGGGGTAAAAATCAAGACTAGGTAAGTGATCCCACATGGTAACTCAAAAACATTGCATCTTTTGGTTCAAATAAATTTCGAGTGTAATGTTAAAATTTGATTTAATCTGTATCTTTGCAAAACTGAAATAATGCTTCAAAATATATGTAGATACCAATGGGGCATAGTTAAAAAAATAAACCATAAAGAATAAAATTATTTTCATTACTTACTAATAATAAACGTTATCCTTTATATAAGTTTCGTAATGGCAACTTATGATTATTATTACTAAGCTCCATAAAAACAACTTTCAGTTGTTATCAAAACATATATGAGTTAATGTGTATCCTCGCCAATTAACTTATATAAACACAACTAAGATTTGATATTGCATAGGGAAATCAAATGATTTTCGCGAAAAGTGCAACATTTAAAAACTAGAGGTCTTTAAATATATAATAATTACAAAACTAAGAACACTAATAAAAAATTGATATGAAACGGTCGTTTTGAATTAAATATTTCTTAAAAGACTAAACAATACATATTCAAGCCATTTTCAGTCATTCAGTCGCCATTCAGACTTATTCAATGCGATAAACTCGGTACTGGTCAGACACTTTGCTTGCATTTAATTAAGATCTATTCAGTCTATGTTCATACTTTTCAGTAGTTCTTATCACCTGTACACATAAAATACCTGAAAAGTTACTGAACAGTACTGAATTGGCTGCAAGTGAATTGTCTGAACAGTACTGAACTTACTGCAACCGATTAGTCTGAAAATTGACTGAACGAGTAAACATGACTTATATAGTTATTAATTAATTTAGTTTAAAAATTTATCAAATGTTGTTAAGATCAAAATGACCGATCAGGACATTTTGTTGTTAAAATGTCTTATTTCAAACATGACATTAGTTTCCTCGCTTTCGACTTGATTTGGTCAATTCTATGTTCCAACTTGGCATTTCTTAGTTCCAATTTGACTGTTCCCACCTCCAAGTTGACATTTGTCACTTCCAACTTGACATTTCTCCGTTCCAAGTTTACATTTCTTTCATCAAAATTGGAGCTAAGAAATGTAAAGTAAGAACTGAAAATGTCAAGATGGAATGGAGAAATGTTAACTTGAAGTGAGATATGTAAAAAACTAATCTATACCGTTTTAATTAAGAGAAAAGTACCGATAAATATATATATTGATCTCACCAGTGTGCTCTCAATTATTCCTTGTTATGCATCACCACAAAAAAGATATATATCGCGGCAAGCTGTTTCAAATATTCCAGATTATATTCATGAACGATATATTGAAATAAAGTACAATATTTGTTAAAATGTGTGTAGACGTAAAACGTAAGATCCTCGCTGAAACCGTTATTGATACCCACTGGAAATGGAGTCCACCAGCATTTATATTTTTGTATTTGTGTTTTTTTAGTATAGCCGCCAAAGAAAGCGCACACTGTTTTCTTCTTGACAGGTATAATTATTTTTCTGTCAATAAACTATCATTCGTCCCATCAAAATACACACAATTGTTATTAGTGCTATAAACATGTTAATAAAAGTAAACGATTGACAAGCATTAGTAATGAGTAACAAAATTTAGACTACAGAATACCCAATCTAAGTTTTACAGCAAGTTTAAAGATCCCATTAGTGTCCATTTTCTGAATATTTTGATAATTTGCAAGACAATTTCGTTTTACACATGCTGAATTCACAAATACTCGACTTTACGTGAAATCACAGAAGTTTTTTTTATCCTTTGAATGTACGTGATAACTATATTACTCTCTATTATTGTGTCTGTATTTTTTTCTGATTGTCTGTGATAAGATGTTTGGTTTGTATAGATTAAAAATTAAGGTAATCAATAGCAATCGTCTTTCCGAGTTAGCTTTAATTAACATAGAACAATGTCGTATTTTTGAGAAAACTTTAATGTTAAAGTGAGTTTTCATATGGCTCCAGTACCGAATAGAATTTCTATGGAATAACTGCGCACACAATTTTGACACAAGAACAAGCTTATTTTATCAGGATGTTTTACAAATTACAAGACTATCATATCATAATTCGAAGTGAGACTTAGGAGCACTTAACTTCTTAACATGTTTATGCACACTTCCACACATTTAGGTGCTTTGATTGCTTTAATAATTGAAACCCGTAAAGAGAAATCAAAGAATGTTTTATTGTCTTAACACCCATTTTGATTTTCACTCTTTTTTGTGGTAATTTTGTGTTTTGCAATAATCTTAATATATTGTAACATTCTTACCCTTTTTCTACGATGTAAATGTGAAAAATAAATATAGAAAAAATCCTCGAAGTTGTCCTCTTCTCACAGAACACACGTTGAGTTAAATTTTCTTAAATATGTGCAGAGCTCACAGTTGATTTGTCAAAGCAATTTGGAGGCCATGTTCAGTTTGTATTTAATAAATTAATATTATAATGCTTTTATATCCTGCTTAAAACTTTTCACTTCCCTTTCAAAACTAATCATTTTAGAAACATGATTAAGCAACAGATACACAGTGCGTAGTTTTTCTGTTCCGTTACAGGATTAAGAACATGTTGAGCATATATTAAATTTATGTCTACGTGACATTTTTGTTTGTTTAAGTAGTTTCTTTATGATCTTTTACAGTTACAGAAGAAGTTTTTTATACTATTATTTAATACTGATTGCGGAAAATTATTATTATCGTACAACGCAAATAGACATAAAATCATTATGTATAAAAAAAAAATACATATTTTGTATACAGTGTTATATCAGTAACTGCTAGTAGTCCTTTGTTAATTTATGTATCATTGTCATTTTGCTTAGTTTCTTTTGTTACCTATTCTGACATCGGAGTCGGACTTCTTTTAAACTAAGTTTTACTGTGCGTATTGCTATGTGTTTCTTTATTCTACATTGGCTAGAGGTATACGGGGAGGGTTGAGATCTAACAAAACATGTTTAACCCCGCCGCATTTTTGCGCCTGTCCCAATTAAGTCAGAAGCCTCTAGCCTTTGTTAGTCTAGTATGTTTTTTAATTTTAGTTCATTTATATGATTTGGAGTTTAGTGTGACGTCCATTTTCACTGAACTAGCACACAATTTTATTTACGGGCCAGCTGAGGACCACCTCCGTGTGTGGGATTTTCTCGCTGCATTGAAGACCCATTGGTGACCTTCGGCTATTGTCTGATCTTTGGTCGGGTTGTTGTCTCTTTGACATATTCCCCATTTCCATTCCAGTTTTATTAAGCCATGCATTAGGTTTCTGAATGCATTATAAAGTCATTGATTTTGAAAAATCTGTTGATCCTTTCAGCTAAAACTTTTTAGTAAATGCCGTTTTTTCTTCGTTACCTAATTTGTCAAGACAGATGAGTTTCGAAAATGTTGTAACCACTGTTGTCTTAATTTGTCCATCCGATGATCGTGAAACAATACATTTTTTATTGGAACATCAGTTTCTAGACGATAATTAAAAAGCAATCGATAAATTAATCTAATACTCAAAAAAATATTTACTAAAACTACATCATGAATGGTGCAAGAAAAACAATATTGCAACGTGTTTTTAAGCATGATAAGGAAACATACTCAGGACAAAATGATTTCATATAATGAAACTCATAAGTCGAAAATAAACAGACAACGCCATGACTAAAAAAGACACAAAACACAAAATACAAAACCAAAGACTGAGCAACAAGAACCCCACCAAAAACTTAGGTGATGTCAAGTGCTCCAGAAGGGTAAGCAGATCCTGCTCCACATATGGCACCAGTCGTGTTGCTCATATAAGTACAAACCCGGTGTAAGTTTAATTCGGTAGGCCACACTCGGGGAAAAGGGAAACATATTCTTACCTATTTTTATGAACAGATTTGATACCCATGGTGTCAAAAGTAATTCCATAGATTCTGACAAAATTTGTTTTTTACGTTTGACTGAAAATCATCACTTAGACGAATGCTGCTGATGTTAGTGAGCACGATGTATTTTTCTTCAATATATTTCACTATATACACTGGTCACCATTCAAATCTGTCTAGCACAAAAAAAAATGGCTACAGTCCTGATGATATACTTTTGGCAAGACAGTTCAGCAGCAGCGGCAGTCTCGTTTATTTACACTTCTTTGCAAACGACATATGTATGTATAACTACGATTATAAAGGACGTGGATGTGAGCATCTATTGTGCACTGTACGACATTCAGCAAGTGCAAAACCCATGCTGTATTGTCAGCTTTAATCCGTTATTTTCATATAAAAGGCCTTAACATGACAATATGTGAATTAATTTCACGAGAAAACCAAAAGCCTGATTCATAACAAAGCTACAAACGAAAAACAAATGAGACAAGCGGAAACCAAGGACATACACAGAATTACAAACTCCTGACCTGTGGCAGGCACATACAGAAAGGTACAGAGTTAAACATGTTTGTAAGCGCTCAAACCCCCGCCTGAAATGTATTGACAAACATGGTTGTAAGCTCTCATCCCTATAATTACAACAAAAGAACAAACTAAAAATCATTGAGGCATAAGATTGTACGTAAAACAAAAAAACAACTAATATAAAGACAAAGTACCGTTCTACAAAGTGTAACACTATATTTTTCTGTGTTTTAAATATCCTACATGATTTTACAGTTTTCAGTTGTAAAAACCAAAATAATCTCGGCATTATAGGTCGTAAAATTCTAAAATTAAAGTTTTAATACAATTTGGTGGTTTCAAAAATGATGAACACAGGTAGGTATTTTTATCGATGTTGTATAAGTACAATATTTTTTCTTTGTACACTGAACCTTGATAATGGAAACAAATTTGCATAATTGTTTTTAGCTTCTGACAATATCTGTAATAAAAATGTATATAGTAAAGTAAATACTTCCTTTTACAGTTAATCCTACTAGAAAAAATATCCTTTATAACTTAAAGCAGCGTCTGTTCTGTATGCACGGCCATGCAAAATAAGTAGCAGTTTTAATGCAGTTGACCGAGAAAATGCATTTAACTTACTCACACAAAGGGATGAATTATGATGTTTACATTTTAAATGATAACATGTTTTCCTGCCATTTTATTTCTTTCCATTTTTTTTTTTATTATTAATTTCACCCACTAAACGACATTTCGTATCGTTTTCTTCAATTACTAAATTAATTTTTCTCTTTTTTTTCATTCCAACAATTTTTAAATTGAACTCAATTTCCCCAGTTGCCCAATCATTGCCCCTTTTCACATTAGGAAGTAAGGAATAATAAAGTGTTCACAAAAATAAGATTCCATATGACATGGATAATCAAAAATGGGCAATTGTAAGTCACTTTATATCTAATTCAGCAGAAAAGAAGCATATTAGTGTAAAAAACTAAAAAAGAAAAGTAGTTATTTCTTGACCTTAAATTTACCAGATTTATGAAAATAAAAAAAGAACAATGTTTATTGACGTATATACACAATTTGTATTTGGTATATCAAAGATATCTGTTTACAATACATAAAGTTGAATGTAGAAACGACCGCCTTTATTGTAGTTTTTCGTCCGAATATTTTTTTCTTTATTTCGGAACGCATCTAACACTCATGACTTACACCAAATTTAAGAAAACTCTAATCTCGGCATCTGTAAAGTTGTTAATATAAAAATAAGAAGATGTGGTATAATTGCCAATGAGACAACTCTCCAACAGAAACCAAATGACATAGAAGTTACCAACTTTAGGTAATAGTACGGTCTTCAACAATGAACAAAACTCATATCGCAAAGTCAGTCTTTTATAATATAAAAGGCCCCGAAATGTAAAACAATTCAAACGAGAAAACTAGCGGCCCGATTTATGTACAAAATAATGAATGCAAAACAAATATGATTTACAGCAACAAACGACAACCACTGAAGTAAAGGCTCCTGACTGGGGCCAGGCACATACAGAATGAGGCGAGGTTAAGCTTTTTTGAAGGCGACAGTCCTCCCTTTAACCTGGGACAGTGGTGTAACAATACAACATGAGAACAAACTATAAAAATCAGTTGAAAATGCCTAGGGTTTAACTCATCAGATCAATACAAAGCAGAAATACATATAACAAAAACACAGACTGGACGTAGCAGGATGCTTATATGTTTTCTATGTTGTGTTTTGTTTACTATTGTTTGTCTGTTGGTCTTTTTCTTTCTTAGCCATGGCGTTGTCAGTTTATTTTCGACTTATGAGTTTGAATGTCCCTTTGGTATCTTTCGCCTCTCTTATACATCCCTACAACAACAAAAAAGACTCTAAGTACAGATCTGAGAGTACTCGCAATTACTTACATCTGGTTCAAAGCCAATAACAACTAATAAAAAAACCTTGCATTTAAGACTAAAATATCAATCAGTACATATCAAGCATCTAATGAATTTAGTATAAGACGTTATTAACAGTCAGAGTAAAACATGCCTTTGTGCAAAGCTAAGATACAGGTATCGACAGATTGTAGCGCTATGGATGAACATATGTATATAAAAAAATATTTAGTTTGATTTTAATTTACTGATAACACAATCAATATAAATACCAATAAAAATATTCAAAAATCTAATTACAGGGTTCGATTGGTAACCTTTTAGAATAAGTTTATTTAAAGGATCGATAAGTTAATCCGGATTGTATCTAAATTTCAAGGCTCGGTAAACAACATCTCCGTAAAAATTAGGATGTGCTTTCCCGTTTGAAATAAGTTGTCTACAGGTACAACCAAACTTCCAAACCAAATCTTTGTATCTATGGAAAAATTTAGTAAAGGTTTTAAGTAAAGCAATTTGTAGTAACGAAATCCCTGACTTAATAATTTACCAGTAATATATAGATTACGTGCATTGAAATCCCAAATGTCACAACAGACACAGGCATAGCAAACGAATTGTGATGTAACACCGTAAGATGGTGCCAAAGGAACATCACCGTCAAAAACACGAAAATTAACAATAGGAAACGAAAAATCGTCCCTTTTGTTGTAAATTTTAGTGTAAAGTTTCTCGTGTAAAACTGAAATATCTTAATCTAGGAAAGAAGAGTTATTTGGTCCTCAATGCTCTTCAACTTCGTACCTTATTTGGCCTTTTTAACTTTTTTTGATTCAAGCGTAACTGATGAGTCTTTTGTAGACGAAACGCGCGTTTGGCGCAAATACAAAATTTCAGTCCTGGTATCTGTGATGAGTTTATTATTACCGTTTATATTCGATTTATTTAAGGATGTTTGCTCCTCTTGTTTTTGAATTTTTGCCAGATTTTCGGAATCCTCTGGTTTTATTGATGTATTGCCATTCAAATATTTTGCCCACTAACTTCTACTTTTCTTTTCATAATTTTATTACATATAGTTTAAAAAGCCATATTTGAAAATCTTATAAAATCCTTGTTATTTTTTCATAGTTTTTGAAACAAAAAAGCAGCCAATGTTAAATGTATGAAAAATCTAGAGAGAATCATTTCCCGCAAAATTTCCAATGGTATATCACGAAAACAAGCACACGGACCCTTCATTTTTTTCTGCTTTTTTAGTTCCTTTGTTTATATATTATCATTTTAGAACAGTCTTTTAAAAAGCTTGTTATTTTGAAACAGAGTAGCAAACATCCTTAAGGGAAGTTCCTGTGGGTAAATTTCGGTAGTATATTTAGAAAATTCTTTATTATTAAACGTAAAAATATCATCAAGATAACGGTAAGTGTTGTTGAATTTATTTATTAAATGCCATTTAGACGGGTCGTTACTGAGTTTGGTCATAACTTGGCATTTTATATCAACGAAGATGTACTTTCAAATGGGAAAAAACATCCCCTTTGTTAAACTTTAGATGCGACTTATCTTGTATCATCTATATTTCATGCTGTTTTTTTAAGATATGAGGCAAATATTTACGTATTGTCATATCAAACCATCAAACAAAAAAAGCACTTTTGAACAAGTACTATCCTTAGAAAAGTTATCTGACGCATTCAGATGTGAACATAGAGTTTAAAGTAAACCATGAATATTCATGATATATAAAGATTGGTGACATCATGCATGCCGTTGCCATAGTTAAGCGTCGTTAGGCCACACAACCAAGATTATTTCTGACTGCGTCAGTAAAAACAACATTTTATACAATTTGACATACACTTGAATTTGAGTATTAATAATTTGTAGTTGCCATGTTTTCGCGGGTAGAATGATAATATTTACTATCATATCCTATGACAATAGGCAATGATTAACATTATTGGATTGTTGAGCACGTAATATCTTTGCTTTTACATGCTATTTTTTTTTATAAATTCTATGATATAATACTATTTGTACTTTTTTACAATTTCATATAAAGCTGTTGAACTGTTGAAATATTGATACAAATGACATCGGATACAGTACACTATAACCAAAACAAAAACAAGAATTGATTACTTTAACAAACCCTGTAAGAGCTAAAAGGGGCATTAGCTACGAAATATATACAAAATAAAAAAAATATGATTTTTTTTTGTTCAATCATAAATGAAAGTGAAATAGTGAAATAATAATTCGCTTTAAGCAGCCAGTTTGGTTCAATTTTGTCAAAATCAGCAACGAAACATTGCTGATGAATTATTCACTTGCAAGTGAATAATTCGACCTCATTGAATCCGTATTCATGTGACCTTCTATTTAAACCCTTAGCTAGAGATGGGCTACGCATGCACTATGCGTGTTCAGCTATTAAAAGAAAACGAATGTCAACAATGAAAGTGAAACAAGAGTAAACCATTTGGTTGACTGATTCGATCCACAAAAACTGATTCTTATAGTAAAAACAGGATGATTAACATATTTGTTTTACCTATAATATGAAATCAAACAGACCTAGAAAAATCCATTTGCACGTGTTCGCAATCTATTCATATCTATATTTATGTTTATATTGGGTTATATGACCGTCGGCAGTCTTCGGATGTCACCTCAATGGTTAATTAGATGGCGTCTAGACTAAAATACACACGAAATGCGGATACATATTATCGAGTCCATGCAATGTTAATTGTTCATTTTAGATTTTTTGTAAGTTGGATATACGTTTTAGTATGTTACAAATCAAATATGAGAATTTGAGTCAAATCGGTGAATATGAATTTGACATCTGATGGGGGCCCTTACGTATCATTGAAAACCATTATCTTACATACAGGTCATATTTACACTCTATCAAGTTACACAATTAAAATTTTGTTTTCTATATCCGAAAACACATTGAGCTAAGTTGAAAAATCGGAAAAATGTAGAATTCTTAATGGACAATACATAATAGGGAAATAGTTGTTATCATGCCAATTGTTTCTCCTCAAAGTATTTTCAAAACGAAAATGAAACTGTTTGTCTTTGTCATTTCGGTATATGGTATCGTCAAAGATCTGCCATCACAACAAAATTATATAAAGAGGAGCAAAAAACACATTATGATGGATCCAAAGACCGCTGTTGAGACTTCTTACTTGGGATATGCAAGTAGATAAGTTGCGGGTTTAAACAATTTGTTTTAGTACAGGCCTTCTCTTTTAAATCTAGGTCAGTGGGATTTCAAAGGTTACATAAAAAATCGTACAATAAAAGGATTAAGGAACAAAATGATAATAAAACTTTTATAATAAACAACAAAAGTTCAAGCGTTCCAGTAAATAATATTCAATTATACCGTACAAAAGAACTTCAAGGCTCGCATTTTCTTAAAACAAGCTCAAAGTACGTTACCTTCTAGAATTAGAAAACTTTCATCCAACTATTATGTTATCAGTAATATGCAAAACCTCAATGCTCTTCAACTTCGTACTATATTTGACATTTTAACTTTTTTATTCGAGTGTCAAATATATAAAAATAACTGTTTTATAAACGAAAACCCGTCTGGCGTACAAAATTATAAAAAAAGGTAACTTTGATGAGTTTTTTGTATGTAGATTTTTCATTATGAAAATGAAGTGAATAGAAACAAAATTTCTTGATTTTTATTTTTAATGAAAAAGCGACAGGTTGTTTCTTCATATAAATACCCTCAATGAAACCTACAAATATAAGGAAAACATGTTAATAAAAAAATATGCATGAACTATAAATCAACTAATGTGGTATGATTACAAATGAAACAAGTTGAACTATCCACCAAAGACCAAAGGACAATGACTAAACTGATATAGTTCATCGTTCGGCCTTCAACAATAAGCAAGCTCATGTCGTATAGTACGTATAAAAGGCTCATTGATAAAAAATTGTGAAACATACTGATTGAATCTAATCAAATTAAACGTAAAATAATTATAACAGACGACAAACTAGAGAAAACTGACATGTCAGCAATGGCCCCGCTTGCACATTTGTTTGTGAGACAAAGAGACTGATGCATACAAAGCAAATATTCATAGGTTGTCGATTTTCATACATTTTGACTCCAGCATTTAATTCAGGATGTGTTTTCAATCAATATATGTCTACGACATTTATGTTGGTGGTCATTTACGGGAAACCAATAGTTTCACACAGAGAATCATTTGGTAAAAGCAAATGATTCTTTTTGTCATTCAAATCCTAGCAAGAAATTTGATTCTCAGAATTTATCATTTTTTAAGAAAAACTAAGTTTTTAACACAAATTTGATTTGAGGAAACAATTTGGAAAGCATACTATGCCTATATTGTTATATCAATTTGTGATGACATGCTACTACAAAAAGATGCTTCTCAAAATTTGTAACTTTTTAAAGCGAAAAGCAAGTTTTTACCATTTGTCTTAATTTGTCTATCACTTTGAAATAACTTGATACACATATATATCAGTTTTTGTTTAAATCCTATTATAAGAAGACATTTCTCAAAATTTGTATTTTGTTTTTACAAAAACGAATTGTTTTCGCAAATTAATGAGCGGAATTTCACCAAAATGAGATATGCACATTTACATATTCTGCATAACAACTGTGTAAAATTTCAATGGATTCCTACCTATATTTTAGGAGGTTTTACGTTTACAAAGGACATTTCTCAAAATTTGTGATTATTGAACAAAAACTAAGTTTTGTTCCAAAATTAATGAGCCGAATTTCACCAAAATATAATATGCACATCTTAATATTATGCACAACATCTGTGTAACATTTCTTTGCTAACCTACCTACACTTTTGGAGTTTTTGCACACACAAAATATGTTGACAAACAGACAGACCGACAAACGGACATAGTGAAAACTATACCTTGTATTTTAAAAATAAAAAAAGCCGGGAAGGCAGACACTTTCAAGTTTTAATTAAGTCATTGCAAAGTTTACTTACGCTTTCGTGTGTTTCAATTATAGATTGACTCAGCTGAAATATAGATATATATTTGAATATATATATTGTATATATAGCATTGGTCGCCCAAAAATTAAAGTCAATTCACAACGTTTTGATAATCGTTATTAGCCAATTGGCTATGAAAAATGAACCGTGTGTTATTCAACTGAGACACAACAGCATAATGTATAGACATTTTATCTCGCAACAGCTTTATTTACTTAGAAAAGTTACATTGAAAAGCTTTGTTTAGTCATCAGTTTGAATTAAAGTGAAGATGGTTGAAAGCTCAAAATACTAGTTTCTGTCACATATGCATGTGCTTGTCCCAAAATCAGATACATCGCCCGTAGTTTATTTTAATGTCTTTCTAAGTGTCTTCGTTGTTTCGAGAGTATGATGTTGATGGCAAATTTTGTAAAGTTGCTGTTTACTCTATTCACAACATCAATTTACAGCAGGACCAATCGAATAGACACGATGTCTATTTATTGAAGACTACATAAATTATGTTGGCCACTCTTAATGAACATACTGTAGTCCCCCAATTCACAATATATACAAAATGTTTTATATCATCATAGAAAGAAGGAAGTGACTGTACACAAAAAGTAGAATAACAAAAATACCGAACTCCAAGGAAAATTCAAAACGGAAAGTCCCTTATCAAATGGCAATATAAAAATCTCAAACACATCAAACGAATTGAAAACAATTGTCATATTCCTGACTTGGTACAGGCATTTCCTTATTTAGAAAATGGTGGATTAAATCTGGATTTATAGCTAGCTAAACTTCTCACTTGTATGACAGTCATATAGAATTCTATTATATTGATTTATCCCTCCTTTCCAAATATTAATACATATAGAGTCCGATACACAATTTGATTATTGGATATAGAAGAATTTGTTGTTTATGTTGGCATTTTTGATTTATTCATAAAAAAGCTTAGTTGTGTGTTGCCGATAAAACGTTTCAGTGGATCTATAACAGTTGTATTTTTTTCTTGTTTTTTGTCGTTGTAAAGTTGACGTTCAAATTCTATTGAGCGAAAGTTCATCTGATACAATTGTCTAAAAAAATTTCGACTCATTTTGAATACATTGCTTTGTATTGTTGCATGTACCTATACAAATTTTGAGTCAAAAGTGTGGGCTCTGAACACATTTCGAGCATTCTTGTGAAAAAGAATTTTTAATATTCAGCGTTATTTAGAAGCTTAGAATATATTTGTGAAAATGGTTGACACAAATATACCAGTGATTTATAAGTAGTTATTTACTTGGGCCTTTCTCCTGAAAACGAGCCACATTAAGTATTCAGTATGCTTGACCTTAAATTACTTATTACAGATCATACTCTTATAAATGAAGATGAGTTCGATGTTCGATGAGTAGTTGAACACTTACAATAACAGATAGCTCTTTTGATTTTATGAATCACTCCATATATTGATTTCCTAAATGATGGGTGTTCCAACGAACCAAAATTTGGTAATTTGTAAGGATTTCCATCTGATGAAATGGCCACAAGCTCCTCCTCATCAATATGTGGACCTATGCCAATAGCAACAACATTAACGCCAGAATCTTTTAACCTATATGCAGCCTCCCAAGTTGCCTTCTTATCTTGAGATTTACCATCGGTGAAGATAATTGCAAGCTTTGGTACATAAGGTCTACCTCCTATTAGATATACAAAAGGCTAGTTGTTTATCAATAAAATCTCTCTTCAATAGTTAATTATTTTATGGCATCCTACTTCTTCTGATATTCTCATAATTACTTCATATCAAAACTAAAGTTTTTGACTGATTTTTTTTAACTTTTTAACATAGTATTACATACATGCTTTGAGAACTTTGCAGATTATGTTGCCATTTGTAGTTAAGAGCAATCTATTGGAATTTATAATTTGGTCACATGCTCGGAATACTTACAAAATGCTGTTAAAACCTTAACTTGCAAATAAAATCTGTAATACTATGAATTTGAGTAAATATTTTTTAGTAATTTTTTTTTATAAAATGGCTCTTGTGTGAAATAAACTCGGGAGGAGTTTGTCTTATCTCTTTTAGGATAACTTATTTTGTATAGTGTTTTGTATTTCTTCTGAATAGCTTTTATAATTATATATCAGAAATAACTTACCATACTCTTCGGAAAAGCTATTCCATAAGGCATTGTCTAAGGCACAGTGAGTATTGGTTGGTCCTCCTTGAAAAGGAATTTGAGAAACAGCTTTTCGGAATGACCAAAAGTCGTTGCAACCTTTCAGACTTATTTCTGTCACAGCTTTCTTTGAAAACACATCTACACCAACAAGGACGTGTTCCTGACTAAGTGGTCTGAGATCGTAAGCAGTTGTAGTTATAAAATCTTTTAATTTATCAAAATTAGGCTTTAAAACGCTCCATGAGTTGTCAATGAGGAAAACGATGTCTATTTTCCCTCTGCATTCTTGAAAAAGAAAACAGTAACTAATTATTTTAAATTTGAAGTAATGATTTCGTTCTGAGTTGTAATGGAAGGCAAAGAAACACAACGCTGTAAGAAGAAAATCAGAAAGAATCTAGTACCATGAACAGCCTCTTGTTACGGGTTAGATTCGAATATATAATCTAAAAGTCAGAAATTTAAAAGCTTCGAAACAATGCCAGGAACCCTTACGTGCACTAATTGTTAATAACCTCATTTACCAGAATGTATCTTATATTTATGTATACATTTTGGAAATTGTGATAAAACAGGTTAAGCATGTGGCTGTCATTTGGTTATTTTGTTATATTATATTTTTTAAAATTTCAATTAAAGTTCGATAGATTATTGAGATAGTGAATAGCTTTAAATCATAATCTATATAGTCATAAATATAAAAATAAGAACATGTGATATGAATGTAATGAGACAACTCTCCACCAGTGACCAAATGACATAGAAATTAGCAATTATAGTCCTTTTCGCTTCCTTTTGAATCGAACTCTGCAACCGTGGTAACCATAATACATATATAGAAGATGTGTTATGTTGGCATTGAGACCAAATGACGTAGAAGTAAGCAATTATAAGTCACCGTCCGACCATCAGTAATTAGCAAAACCCATACCGCCTAGCAACCTATACGGGAACGACCATTTGGTATTCTGAAGGGGTGGTAAAGGGGCATAGGATTTTTTTCCGGATTGACCATTTATTTTTATCTGTTGCTACGCACGCTTATTTTGTTCCTGTGGCTTTGCTTCGCGAAAATTTATTTTCCCTCTTGTACACATTAGTCTCCTTAACTATCAGCGTTTTTTGTTTCAGAATATTAATTTTCATCCTGTCTTGTGCAAAGTCATTTATATTCAGTTTTCATCATAATACCAAGTTATTCATTTTCAAATCATCGTGCCCCCTCTCCCCCCCAAATGAAATGGTCTTCTCCTAAAAGGCCCCGCCATGAAAAATTGAAAACATTTCAAACTAGAAAAATAACGAAATTATTCATGCACCAAATAATAAAAAAAAATACAAATATGATATACGGCAACACGACATCTTAAGTTCAGCAAAGCGACGAAGCTATTGTTTCGGCGTTTGGGTTTTTAATTTTTTAATCAACACTATTCCTACATGTATGTTATATCGATTTTTGTCTTCGACTTCGTCGGCAGCGTCACAATCAAGGTACAGTCTGTAGTTGCGGTTTTTGCAGACATCAATACCTTTGTCAACCTTTATAATAATTTGATTAAACTTGAACTGAAACTGCTTCATGATCAAGAAATAGCATTCGGAGAAATAAACTGAGATGTTTTCCTATGTTCCGTAGGTGACTGGTAAATGGAGATAACATTTACTTACATTATATATAGCGTTAACAGCTCTTAAACAAAACATGGAAATTCATGATACGTTTCTTTTTCGTAGTCATCTAGAGTAAAATTTAGATCTTTCCACTTTAAGTATTTCACGAACACGTAATTAACATTACCATAAACATTTTCATAACCAATTGAGAGCTTTCACACTGAGATAAAATTGATTTTTCTTATAAATTTTTATGTATTCTCAATAGATTTAATTTTCCTGTAGTCAATATAATGCTTGAACACTGATAGCAGCAGTCGCAGGCGAGACATATAATCTCACTGAACCGTTCAGGAATTATTGTTATTAAGCGTACCGTTAGATCGTGAATTAGAGCTTTGAGTTAAACAGATTGGAATTCATTGAAGATTCCAATAATTTGTTGAATACAAATTTCTTTTTTTCTCTCTTCAGTCTAACACATCTAGCTTATATGTTATGATTTCCATGCAGCACCATCTACTGAATTGTAATATGTTAAACTGGGCTTGTTCTGACATCTGCAAAGATGAAATAAAGGCATATCGCTTCGCTTTAGCTGTGACGGCTGATGTATCCTCTTTTCCTCTTTACATGGTTTCCTGTGTTATAGATCGCCGCTAATCGACGTATGGAAACGTCTCTTTTGATATTTGTATGAACTAATGTTAACTTTAGAGACAGATGCTTTGCTTTGAAGTAATATATATATCTATAGGTACCTATATATGACATGTTATATGGATGTAATTCACCTACTTATTAACAAATGATTAAGAGATATTGTTTTGTAGAATTTTTAAAAATGGAATAAAACAAAAGGACAAAATATTAAAAAAAAAAAAAGGACTGCAACTTTTTGGATGACCGTAATATTTTCAATAAAAAACACTTTTAGATATCACAACGTTGTCAAACATACTTATTTTTATCAAAATAAAAAGATTAAACTAAAAAAAGTTGTATTTCACATCCGACTTTTTATTGTTATCTATATGACATATATAACGACCAAGTATACGATTTGAATTTTATTTTGCATCATAGAATTATAGATAAAAGTTGAAACATGTTTAATTGTTTTCAAATGTAGAGATTTTTGTGTAGAATTTTTAGAAATGTTCTGTGATAACAAGTGTTAGATAGGGTTGACATAATAAAAGACTACAATGCAGTATCAATAATGTAGTTAAGTAAAATAAATTTTGACAGGGAGGAAAAGTAGTCCATCAGGATCTTTGATAAGAGTGATATCGCTTATAAGAGTAATATCGCTTCCTGCAGGAAATGGATAACAGGCCACAAACTTAAGAAAATGTAGTGAATACTAATATAGACATAACGTTATAATGGTATCTATGTTATTTGCAACCGTTCCAAACCTATATTGATTGATTAATCATTTTGCGTTTAATGCCACTTTCAGCACTATTGGCGATTTCGTTGCGGTCATTTTTTTTATAGGTAGAGGAAGCCGGAGTCATCAGAGAAAACCACAGACCTTCTGCAGGAAATCCTAGTCAACTGAGATCTGAGTCGAACGCACCTGCCACTTGCGGGATTAGAACTCATTACATCAGTGTTGACAAACATATACGATAAAACTAAAGTTATTCTACTGTAACCTACCATCATTATAACCGTCGTAGTTGTTAGGATCTCCTTCTGATTTGCTCGTGTGTAGTGCTAGTAGCATAAATGCAATGCCTGCTACAGATATCTTCATCTTTGTCAGGATTTCGTCTGAAAGTATAGAAATGTAACAAAGACTCTAGTATCATGCTATTACAGTATTTAGAATGATTGTATTCATTTAGTAATTTTCTACAAAAAACTCTCCAACACCTGAAAAAAAAACATAAAAAATAAACGAACAATAAAAACCCTAAATAACAAAAAAAAAATAAAAAAACAAAAAAACAAACAACCCACTGACCAAAAAAGCCTAATTAAACTAACACCCCACCCCCTCAAAAATAAGAGAAAAAGGACATACTATGAAGGAAAATATATCAACTACATGTATTATAATTAAATGTTGCGTAAAATGTCGGATGATTAGTTTTTCATTAAAGCTCCAAATACACTACATTCGTGGTTATGATTTAAATATTTCATCCCCCTATCACCTTTCCATCCAGACAGCTATTTCATTTATACTTGAAAGGGGATGTGGGATAGTACATGATGAGGCAGTAAACCAACATTCTCTACTTTCTCTCTAATAAGAAAGGTAGATGTGCTAGATATACTTACTGGAGGTGTGATGAGATGATTGAAGCTGAAAATTTTCTTCTAAGTTGACAACATTTACGTACGTTTGGACAATAAAGTTTATCGACATGTGGCACCAATTGTGCTCATTTAATAGCATACACGTTCCTATAATGTTATGCGAATTCATGGCCAAACTCAGTAAAGACCCGTCTAAATTGCATTTGATTGATAAATTCATCAACACTTACCATTATCTTGCTGATATTTTTTTCGTTAAATAATCAAGAATTCTCCGAATACTGTCGAAATCTACCCAAAGGAACTTTGATTTAAATAAATCAAATATTAACAACAAGTTAATTTTTCTATTTTGGACGGTGATGTTCCTTTGGCACCGTCTTACGGTGTTAACATATCCCAACTCGTTCGCTATGCCCGTGTCTGTAGTGACGTTTTGGATTTCATTGTATTAATTGTAAATTATTAAGTCAGCGATTTCGTTACCACAAATTACTTAAAACCTTTACTAAATTCTTCCATAAATACACAGATTTGGTTTGAATGAACTTATTTTAAAGGTTACCAATTCAACACTGTAATTAGATCTTTGAATATTGTTTTTATTGGAATAAATATTAATTTTGTCATCAGTAAATCAAAACCATACTAGATATTATTATTATACGCATATGTACATTCACGGTTACCGCAACAGAATCCATTCGATAACTATATTTTGGCATTACACAAGTTCATGTTTTCCTTTGACTGTTAATGACGTCTTTACTCATGTTGGATGTTAACTGATCGATATTTTAGTCTTAGATACACGATGTTTTTATTAGTTGCTATTGGCATTGTCAGTAATTGCGAGTACACTCAGATCTGTCACAGAATATAGAATAATGGGCAAAAAATGTAAAGAATAGAGAAAAATAGACTCAAAAATAATGAATAGAGAATAATGGACAAAAAATATCAAAAATAGAGAAAATGGCCTAAAACATTGACGAATACAGAAATGAAGGACCTACATCCATATCCTCATACTATATTTCATGTTAGCTGTAAGTTTCACCGAATCTAAACAGTTGTGAATAGACTGAACAAAAGCGACGTAAGATTTTCTAGTCAACAATTAATTCTTTAAATAACAAATAAACATTTAGATGTTAATTATATTGACATAAGATTTATTGTTTGTTGATTGCTTCGCGCCACCTCAGCACAAAAGGCGATATCGCGGAGATTTAATTTTCATCACAGGTATTTACATTTATTTAGTGTTTGTTATTTTCCTAACGTCTAGTAGCAAATATTACATTTATGTTCAGAACGACAGGTTTTTAAAAATGTACATGTATCTTTAGTGGCTGTGTGGTCAAAATCTATTATAAGTATACATTTCATATCCTCTACTCACTTTTGTCGTTTTCCTCGAAATCAATTAAATATTGGAATTGTTCAACTCCAATCAAAATAATATTCCTACCTTTTATAATTCAGAAAAAGTTGAAATGATATTTAATACATCCAATCTTTGTTACTCTCACAACAACACCCTTGTTGTTTCGTTGTTGTGAGAACATTATAATTATCTCATTTTTATATGAAATATTAAATATTCAGATGGTTTGTTTCTAGCATTTTAAAAGGTAAAAATCTCGACTATTAATATGCCAGGTTAAGCATTTACCATGGAACCTGGTGTTCCTTTAGCATGGCAGATTAATCAAACAGATAGAGAAGTGTTTGTTAGACATTAAAACAATTGGTTACTTAAACAAGAATTTGCTAACTATACAACGCCTCATATACAATTTGATGTAAATGTCATGTGAACAAATCTCACTCTCTGACCATATGTATTGATGTAAAATTTCATCAATAATTTTGAACAATTCAGTAAACTCCTCATCAACATTTTACATATCTCAAGCCAAAAACGGCATAGAAGCATCGATCTCATGTCCAGCAACCGTCGTGGGAAATCATTCTACTTAATTATGCTACCAAGTCGTTTAAACACATATAAAAGGGTCAGTTAATATTTTATTCTAATTATTCATATCAATTTCTATATAAAAAAATCCAACAATCATGATATATCGGAGAAGACTTGTTTAACTCAAAGCTCCAATGTCGTAAAAAAAATAACCGGGCTGTATGGAGGCAGGAATATAGAATGTAAAGGCCACTTTACAGTTTCATATTGAAATGAACATTCTTTCATTTTAAAGACTTTTGGTTTTGTTACAAACCTTTCCTGGTATTTTTGAAACACCAATGTCGAATAGTTTTAAAATGATGATTTTGTCAAATGTTCCTCATCTAATGTTGTTGATACTATATTTTCATATTTTAACATTTCGTCTGAAAACATGTACATGAAACATACCGTGAAGTTAAGTTGTGACTAGAAAAGAAATACAAAAACAGAATGTCCGTTATAAAAGAGGGGCAAAAGATACCAAAGGGACATTCAAAATCATAAGTCGAAAACAAACTGACAACGCCATGTCCAAAAAAGGAAAAGACAAACAGACAAACATCTATATCATTAACGGGAAGCTTAATACAAAAATTATGATAAAAGAGATAATTTTTCATTTCCTATCGTTAATTATCCATTTTAGATGGTGATGTTCCCTTGTCACCATCTTATGGTGTTTATATATCTCAAATTGTACGATTCGCTCGTGTATGTAACAACGTATTAGATTTTAGCGAGAGAAATTTATATATTACTGAAAAATTATTACACCAGGGTTTTCGATATCATAAACTAGTCAAAACATTTACTAAATTTTATCATCGGTATAAGGACATCATTCGTAAATATAACTCAACATGCAGACATCTTATACGTTCGGGTATTTCACATCCAATCTTTTATTGTAATATTCTTTACAAAGTACAAAAATGTCAGTATTCACCTCAAAAGCTAACAAAACCTTTAAACAGACTTAGTAGACGTGTTAGGAAAGGGGTTTAAATACTGCGCTGATGTTAAATACCAATACCGATACAAGATTTAAGTGTGGACTTTCTCAAAATGCTATTGCACTAAAAAGTATCCCGGCGTAGTATAATAGTTTACGTTTATGGTGTTTGATACAATATAAAGCGAACAGTTAACGTCGACTCCCAATTTTAAGACGTGCATTGGCCTTACGTAGATCTTCATACATTCATACATTAATTTGTATTTGTTTGATTTAAGAGTGCAAAACAAAACTTAACAAAAATATATGTAAGAGTCAAGAATGGGAATGACGGATTGTACGGCCACAAGTCCAAATATATATATTAAGCGATATGATTAGAATATGTTTAATAGTTAAATAACTCAGTTTGTCACTCCACAATAGATATGTCCTATTTCCGTTGCAAAATATAGTTAGCATGCATTTTGTGTCCAGGGATACAGGGACGCGTATATATGTGTGGCTTAAACAAATCAGTACTAATCTGAACACATCGTTATATCTATATATAAAAAAGTGGACACAAGTGGATACAGTGCTATTTCTATATAAAACTTTAAGAAGCAGGGGGCTACAGAAGAAGGTTGTCTTGCTGCGCATCGTTTTAATGTTCAAGAAAACCACTTTCCATGAGCTATATGTGATTCGTATTGTCTACTTCTTTCTGGGTATGAATGCAATGAATGGACAGAGGGACGAAAGAACGGACGGATGGACCAATTCGACCATCACTATATACCGTCCAATTTAGAAAGCGGAGTGTATAGTGAATCTAAGGCAAAACAAAATGAAGCAAATCGAAAAAAAAAAAAAAATGCCCGACATATAATTTTGCAGACTTTGTTTTGAAAGAGGTGAAAATGAATATTCCATTTCCAAAATAACGCTACTTTCAACAATATCTCAATTTAATTGTGGTGTTCTGTTTTGTTGGTGGAGGAAGCCGTGGTAACAAGAAAAAAAAAACAACTTCCGACCCTTCACCGAAACGTAAATTTAACATGCTTGATAATGTCCAAACGTTGTAATCTTTTAATACTTAATTCGATAACCTCTCTTTTCCGAAAAAACTAACTGATAAAAGTTGATAGAAGGAAAATATCAGGGCAAAATTTTGTATGTGAATAAGAATGAATTCATTTAACATTATATAAAATTGTCAGTGACCTTTCTAGATAAAATAAAAATCTAAAGATAATCAAATTGAAAACGCTTTTGTTTCAGTCTTTTTTTAATTGTCAAGTACACACATTTCTAGTTTGGTTTATTTTTAGATATTTACGCTACTGTGTAACACATTTCTCTATTCTAGAAAATGATATAAAAAAAGGAGATGCGGTATGATTGCCAAAATAGACAACTATCTACCAGAGACCAAATGGCGTAAATGTTTGCAACTATAGATCACCGTATGACAGACCCCCAACACGGAGCAAAACCATTCCCGCATATAAAAGCTAAGAAAGGCCCCGACATGACAATTACTTTTTAAATAAATTTCAAACGAACATTTTGAACAAAG